TTCTGAGTAACAAAAATCATTGTACACATGCTGTGTAGTAAACGTAGTTTATTTAAAATAAGAACAGGCTGACGATGAGTCTGGCTCAGAGCAAGGCAGCTCCGGGCGGGCGAGAGCCGGGGAGAGGCGAGCGAGAGCCGGGGAGAGGCGAGAGCCGGGGAGAGGCAGGGAGAGGCGAGCGAGAGGCAGGGAGAGGCGAGCGAGAGCCGGGGAGAGGCGAGCGAGAGGCAGGGAGAGGCAGCGAGAGCCGGGGAGAGGCGAGCGAGAGCCGGGGAGAGGCGAGAGCCGGGGAGAGGCAGGGAGAGGCGAGCGAGAGCCGGGGAGAGGCGAGCGAGAGCCGGGGAGAGGCAGGGAGAGGCGAGCGAGAGCCGGGGAGAGCCGAGCTCTGGGGTTTGAGAACTCAGACTGGGCGAGTGACATGCGGAAGTACCGCTGAAAGCGAAACTCCTCCGTACGCAGCTCCTGGAGTAAATGACGGAACTCTGCAAACACTGCAGCCTCTCAAGTCTGTGGTGAACCCAGAACATGTTTTGTTGAAGCCCTACAACAACGTTATTTTGCTTTATATAACAAATAAAGGCTCGCTGCTCATTGAAAAATCCACCGCTGTCCTGACTACAGGCAACAGAGAAGCTCCTCCCACAGACAACAGAGAAGCTCCTCCCACAGACAACAGAGAAGCTCCTCCCACAGACAACAGAGAAGCTCCTCCCACAGACAACAGAGAAGCTCCTCCCACAGACAACAGAGAAGCTCCTCCCACTGACAACAGAGAAGCTCCTCCCACTGGCGTCAGGCGCGTCACTCGCGTCACTCGCGTCAAAATCTTCAAGCACCAAAATGACAAAACTATCCCGGCGTCAGTTGAAGCGCGTCAAAAGCTTTTTGAAGCTTTTGGTCTGAACGCGCCTTAAGGAGCAGCCACTCTGCGGAGGAAGCTCATGTGACGTTTGTATCCGCGATCTTGTTCTTTCAGTCATTTCCCAAAGCTCATGACCAGAGGTGAGGGAGGGGAGCTCTGGCTGCAGACGCTGCTCCCTCATGACCAGAGGTGACGGAGGGGAGCTCTGGCTGCAGACGCTGCTCCCTCATGACCAGAGGTGACGGAGGGGAGCTCTGGCTGCAGACGCTGCTCCCTCATGACCATAGGTGAGGGAGGGAACAGATTGACCGGTAAATCGAGAGCTTTACTGCGACAGTCCAATGCAGCTCTGACTGCAGACGCTGCTCCCTCTTCACCACAACGGTCCGATACAGCGACCGCATCACTGCGCACGCTGCACCGATCCACCTGTCAATCTCACGCTCCATCCTTCCCTCACTCGTGAACAAGACCCCGAGATACTTGAACTCCTCCACTTGAGGAAGGACCAGGACCTGGAGAGGACCAGGACCTGAAGAGGACCTAGAAATTCTGTCCATAAACACAGTGAACAGAACCGGTGACAAAGGGCAGCCCTGGCGGAGGCCAACATTCACCGGGAACAGGTCTGACTTACTGCTGATGAACACAGCTCTGGCTCCGGTCATACAGGGACCAGACGGCCCTCAGCAGAGGACCCCGGACCCCGTACTCCCGGAGAACCCCCCAAAGGACACCCCGGGGAACACGGTCGAACGCCTTCTCCAAATCCACAAAGCACATGTGGACAGGTTTGGTGAACTCCCATGAACCCACGAGTATCCGATGGAGAGTATAGAGCTGGTCCAGTGTTCCACGACCGGGACGAAAACCACACTGCTCCTCCTGGATCCGAGATTCGACCATGGGCCGTAGCCTCCTCTCCAGTACCTTGGAGTAGACCTTACCGGGGAGGCTGAGGAGTGTGATCCCACGATAATTGGAACACACCCTCCGGTCCCCCTTCTTGTAGAGAGGGACCACCACCCCGGTCTGCCACTCCATTGGCACCGCCCCCGATCGCCACGCGATGTTGCAGAGACGTGTCAGCCAAGACAGTCCTACAACATCCAGAGACTTTAGATAATCAGGACGGATCTCATCCACTCCCGGAGGCTTGCCACCATGGAGGCTGCCAACCACCTTGGTGACCCCTGCCAGGGAGATGGAAGTATCCGCTCCAACATCCTCAGCCGCTGCCTCTGACTGAGGAAGTGATTGGGGGATTGAGGAGAACCTTGAGGTATTCCTTCCACCGCCCGACAATATCCCCATTCGAGGTCAGCAGTTCTTCACCCGCACCATAGGGTTTGCCTCTGCAACAGCCCAGGCCGTGGCACGCTTGGCCTGGTACTGGACAGCTGCCTCAGGAGTCCCATGACCCATCATGGCTCGATAGGACTCCTTCTACAGTCTGACGGCATCCCTTACTGCCGGTGTCCACCACCGGGTTCGGGGGTTGCCGCCGGGACCAGCACCAGAGACCTTGCGACCACAGCTACGAGCCGCCGCATCGGCGATTGAGGAAGAGAACATGGTCCACTCAGACTCAATATCCCCCTCCTCCGCCGGGACCTGGGAGAAGCTCTCCCGGAGGTGTGAGTTGAAAGTCCGTCTGACAGGGGGCTCAGCGAGACGTTCCCAGCAAACCCTCACTATACGCTTGGGTCTGCCAGGTCTGACCGGCTTCTTCCCCTGCCAGCGGATCCAACTCACGACCAGGTGGTCGACAGCTCCGTCCCTCTCTTTAGCTCCTCCCCTCTCTTCACACAGACACTCGGTCGAAGGTCAAATGATACGACAACAAAGTGGATCATCGACCTCCGGCCTCAGGTCCTGGCGCCCCCTGGTGGACACCCTTGCGCTGGGGCATGATGTTCGTGATGGACTAACTGTGACTGGCACAGAAGTCCAACAACTGAACACCACTCGGGTTCAGATCAGGGTCGTTCTTCCCCTTCACCCCTCTCCAAGTGTCACTGGCGTCCCCCACATGGGCGTTGAAGTCCCCCAGGAGAATAACTGAGTCCCCGGGCGGTGCACCGTCCAGTACCCCTCCTAGGGACTCCCAGAAGGCAGAGTACTCTGCACTGCTGTTAGGCCCGTAGGCACAACAACAGTGAGAGACTTGTCCCCCACCCGGAGGCGGAGGGATGCGACCCTCTCATTCACCGGGGAGAACTCCAACACGTGGAGCTGAGATGGGGGGCAATGAGTATGGCCACCCCAGCTCGCCGCCTCTCCCCGCGAGAAACACCAGAAAAGTGGAGCCCCCAACCCCTCTCAAGGAGTTGGGTTCAGAGCCCAAGCTGTGTGTGGACGTGAGGCTATCTCTAGGTATCTCTCAACCTCCCCTACTCCTCCTCACACGAGCTCAGGCTCCTCCCACAGTGAGGTGATGTTCCACGACCCCATAGCCAGATGTTGTGTGTGACTGGGTTGTCGAGGTCTCCGCCTTCGACTGCTGCCCAGTCCCCTCTGCACAGAACCACCACGGACCCCTCTGTGGGAGCTGGGTCCACAGGAGAAAGATGTAGATGCAATTTCAAATGTGAATCTTAAATACTGTCAGAGACGCACAAGTCTCTGCAACCGCGAGTCCCAGTCCAAGTCCAGTCCAGTCCAAGTCCAGTCCAAGTCCAGTCCAGTCCAAGTCCAGTCCAAGTCCAGTCCAAGTCCAGTCCAAGTCCAGTCCAAGTCCAGTCCAAGTCCAGTCCAAGTCCAGCTAAATATTTCAAATGTTTTCATCCACAAACCACTACTTTAAATAGCGGCCGCTGTCATTGCGTGGGATTGGTCCTTGTTCTGTAGCTTAGGTCCTGGACATTTATCACATGTATGACATTTATCACATGTATGACATTTATCACATCTATGACATTTATCACATGTATGACATTTATCACATGTATGACATTTATCACATCTATGACATTTATCACATGTATGACATTTATCACATGTATGACATTTATCACATGTATGACATTTATCAACATGTATGACATTTATCACATCTATGACATTTATCACATCTATGACATTTATCACATGTATGACATTTATCAACATGTATGACATTTATCACATGTATGACATTTATCAACATGTGTGACATTTATCACATGTATGACATTTATCACATGTATGACATTTATCAACATGTATGACATTTATCACATGTATGACATTTATCAACATGTATGACATTTATCACATGTATGACATTTATCAACATGTATGACATTTATCAACATGTATGACATTTATCACATGTATGACATTTATCACATGTATGACATTTATCAACATGTATGACATTTATCACATGTATGACATTTATCACATCTATGACATTTATCACATGTATGACATTTATCAACATGTATGACATTTATCACATGTATGACATTTATCAACATGTGTGACATTTATCACATGTATGACATTTATCACATGTATGACATTTATCAACATGTATGACATTTATCACATGTATGACATTTATCACATGTATGACATTTATCAACATGTATGACATTTATCACATGTATGACATTTATCACATGTATGACATTTATCACATCTATGACATTTATCACATGTATGACATGTATCACATGTATGACATTTATCAACATGTGTGACATTTATCACATGTGTGACATTTATTAACATGTGTGACATTTATCACATGTATGACATTTATCAACATGTATGACATTCATCACATGTATGAAATTTATCAACATGTATGACATTTATCACATGTATGACATTTATCACATGTATGACATTTATCAACATGTATGACATTTATCACATGTATGACATTTATCACATGTATGACATTTATCACATGTGTGACATTTATCACATGTATGACATTTATCACATGTGTGACATTTATCACATGTATGACATTTATCAACATGTATGACATTTATCACATGTGTGACATTTATCACATGTGTGACATTTATCACATGTATGACATTTATCAACATGTATGACATTTATCAACATGTATGACATTTATCAACATGTGTGACATTTATCACATGTATGACATTTATCACATGTATGACATTTATCAACATGTGTGACATTTATCACATGTATGACATTTATCAACATGTATGACATTTATCAACATGTATGACATTTATCACATGTATGACATTTATCACATGTATGACATTTATCAACATGTGTGACATTTATCACATGTATGACATTTATCACATGTATGACATTTATCAACATGTATGACATTTATCACATGTATGACATTTATCACATGTATGACATTTATCACATGTGTGACATTTATCACATGTATGACATTTATCAACATGTATGACATTTATCACATGTGTGACATTTATCACATGTATGACATTTATCACATGTATGACATTTATTACATGTATGACATTTATCAACATGTGTGACATTTATCACATGTATGACATTTATCACATGTATGACATTTATCAACATGTATGACATTTATCAACATGTATGACATTTATCACATGTATGACATTTATCACATGTATGACATTTATCAACATGTGTGACATTTATCACATGTATGACATTTATCACATGTATGACATTTATCACATGTATGACATTTATCACATGTATGACATTTATCACATGTGTGACATTTATCACATCTATGACATTTATCACATGTATGACATTTACAGTATCAACATGTATGACATTTATCACATCTATGACATTTATCACATGTAGGACATTTACAGTATCAACATGTATGACATTTATCACATGTATGACATGATTCTCTGATCTGTGGTGATTTCAATGGTTTTGTTCAGTCTCTGAGATGATGCTGTTGTGATTTAGGGAAATAAAAGAATAAATTGTTGTTTTGAATATGTCTGCTTCAGAGCCTGAGGACAGCCCGGGGGACAGCCCGGGGGACAGCCCGGGGGACAGCCCTGAGGACAGCCCTGAGGACAGTCTGGACCAGTTCTACCCACAGGTGCTGGGAGGATTCATCCTGGTGCTGAGTGAGGAAGGAGACATCATCTACCTGAGTGAGAACGTCAGCGCCCACATCGGGATCACACAGGTACTGCAGTGTGTGTGCGTGTCTGTGAGTGTGTCTCTGTGTCTGAGTGTGTGTGTGTGTGTGTGTGTCTGTGTCTGTGTGTCTCTGTGTGTGTGTGTGTGTGTGTGTGTGTGTGTGTGTGTGTGTGTGTGTGTGTGTGTGTGTGTGTGTGTGTGTCTGTGAGTGTGTCTCTCTCTCTGTGTGTGTGTGTGTTGCTGTGTGTGTGTCTGTGAGTGTGTCTCTCTCTGTGTGTGTAGTTCTTTGTAAATCCTGGTCTTGTGTGTGTGTCCAGCTCGAGCTCCTGGGACAGAGTCTGTATGAGTTTCTCCATCCCTGCGACCAGGAGGAGCTGAGGGACCTGCTGACTGCTCGCTCTGGTCAGTCTCTCACACACACACACACACACACACACACACACACACACACACACACACACACACACACACACACACACACACACACACACACACACACACACACACACACACACACACACACACACACACACACACACACACACACACACACACACACACACACACACACACACACACACACACACACACACACACACACACACACACACACACACACACACACACACACACACACACACACACACACACACACACACACACACACACACACACACACACACACACACACACACACACACACACACACACACACACACACACACACACACACACACACACACACACACACACACACACACGTTTTTGTTACCTGGTGGGTCCCTTTGACAGGGCCGTTCAGAATGGGACCCATAGACATAATCTTTTTTTACTGGGACTACTTTAAGTAATACAAAACAGTCAATAGAAAACAACTATTTTAAAGGAATGTTATTTTAGATTTTGTTTTCGAATTGCAGTGATTCTATTTTTGACATAGAATTTAATGCCACTCCATGTCCGATGTCTAAGGTCATCTGGTGAGGCATTAATGCAGGCCAGGCAGTGAGACTTCCCAGGGACCTTTCCAGTCTGTATGAAAGGTGTCATGGTCTTCTCCACAGCCTTCACCTCAGATGCAGACCATGGCTTTCTCTAACGTTCTAGGGAGAGAAATAAAAATATATTAGCAATATACACTCCCAGGGTTAGGACCAAGCAGCCTGGCTGTAATCCCCCACCTGGTACACTTACCAGAAGGGGCACTGCCACTACCATGGGGTGCATCTGGATGAATGGTTGAAGGTTCTCCGCTTGAAGTTTCTTTTAGCCCGTCCGTTTGTGAGAGGATCTCTACTGCTCTCCCTGTCGCACAGAAAATAAAAATACAAGTGGCCTTTAGGGGAAAAAAATCATACATATTTTAATAATATCAAGAATTACCTTCAGGCTCAATTTGTATCTGGTCGAGGCTCTTTCCTTCGAATTCCGTCACTCTTCCCTGCTCCATGGCCATCAACACTTTGCTGATTTTGGCCAGCTCCAGTGTCCCCTCTGGTAGTCTGTAATATTGCCTGTGGATGCGAATGTCATGGCCGAGGAAGTTGGCAAGTATGTCCATCTCATTCTCTTTCATATTGAGAACTGTAGACATAGTAGCTATGTGCTTTCTAAGTTTGGTTGAGGATAGCCTCTCTGGATGCACCGCACCACATTCTTTGGCTACCTGGCGTAGGGAGTCTGATCCCCTGATGTGGGTGTCTGCGCCCGGGCGGGAAAAGAAGTATGGGTTATGGTCAGAGATGGAACAGGCCCTTCTGTTCTCCACCAGCACCTCCATCGAAGCAATCATTTCAGGAGTCAAAAGAACCGGCACTTTCCGACTTCTTTTCCCTTTAATTTCAATGCGTTGAAAATGCTGACACAGCTTTTTCTCAAGTTGGGACAGTCCCAGAGCAATGTCAGAATGGATCCCAGTCTTACTTCTTAAGGTAAAGGCTGTCAGTGGCATCTTTGAAACCTCACCTTCCCTTCTTCGATTGAAAATGATGACCTCACAAAGAGTCAAAACTGCCAGTTTAGACCAATGCTTAGACGTTGGCTCACTTATTAGGGTTTGCACATATTCAGGTCGACATACCTCAATATGTGCATGCATGGCTCTAACGTCCTCAGTCAGAGGGAGCAGGTCCGGAGTGTTCCACTTGGCTTGCCGGAGGGTCTGTAGGGCAGCAGAAGAAACACAGACGTCCCACCTCTTCTCAAAAAGCAGCCGGCTTCGTTGGAGGTTTTTAATAAATAGTTCATCAACACAATGCTCCATTTTTGAGTCACATTCAAGAATATCTGCTAGCTTTCTGAGGCTATGGCCGAGTTTGAGGGCCAAGGATGGAGTCTTGTATTGATTTGTTTCCTCATCATATCCAGCCACAGACCTGACTGCATCAATCACATGGTTAAAGTTGGAAGGAATAAAGAAATCCTTAATTGTTTTCAGTTTCCCTGCGGTTTTTGCTTCGTTAATTAACCTACCGACTTCTCTCATTTTCTGCCTAATGTAATCATGCTTTAGTCTTATCATGCCCGTGTTTTAAGTACAGGTGCTCTCCGAGTCTCAGAATCCCCTTTTCTGCTTTGACAACACCCGTGACCTCATCCTGATGCATTGCCGAAATTAAAGACCACAGCTTTTTGATGCCTCGGTACAGGCTGGGCTAGGGAGCAGAGGGACTGGACCCTACTTCTACCTGGTTTAGCCTGGGCATCTTTCTGTGAAAGCCGGCACCTGGCCACATGCCTCCACAGCGACTTTCGCTTAAGCAATGCCCCACAGTCTATACAGTGCAAAAACTCACTGGATTTAACTGGGGAATTTGGCTGTTTAGCTGGGACTAAAGTTCCAATGCCGGCCTTTAAAACCTCAAAATTGTGCTCACGGTTTCCACTATTCCTGATCAAATCAAACTGAAGTTTACGTGCTTTAGATTTCACAGGTAGAGCCAATGCTCTGGCTACGTCACTTTCATTTCCATGTTTTCTAGTCAAATGACGGGACATTTTGTGGCAGGACATTGAACAGTAGAGGCAGAAGTGTCTCTTGCTGTAACTCGCCCCCCATTTTTCTTCTTTTGCAGCTGCATGATAACAATCTTATTTGCCTTTGGTTCGTCACTTTCCGAGTCTTGAAGAAAAGTGTTTTTGATTTTTCTTTTTCCATACTTTTTTACAGGTTTCTTCTTGACAGTTAAATCGTCAGAATCTGAGTCGACTTCATCAATTAGGGACTCTTGACTAAGCTGCACAAACAACAAATAATTTGTAATCATTCTATATAACAATTTGAAGTCATGACTTGTAGTCAGCACTTACCAGTGGTTTGTAAGCGTGCGCTTCAGTGTGCTCCTCCATGATTTCTTGCAGCCTAATGAACCACACACTTGCACCTTTTTCTAGCCTGACACCTGATTTCCTCTGTTGTGCTGCTCCATGATTGGCTCCAGCCTGCTGGACTGAAATTGCCCCAGTGTGCCCCTCCTTGATATCCCGCAACCCACCACCAGGGTTCCGACACATAACACACTTTTTTCAGGAAAGTAAACCTCCAGGGGTCCTTTCCATATTTTTACAGAGACTGCATAAGGACCGTTAGAAAAGCATTACCCATTGATTATTAAGCTTGGACCAGTGGGGTCCGGTGTTCGGGCCCCACCACGTAAAACCAGTCCCCATGACGTGAGTGGAATCTCAGGTTATGGAACCCACCAGGAGTTGAAAACAAGTGCACACATATTCTCAAAGAATAAGGGTGGGCGCATTTCTCCCCGGGAGAGAGCGCATGAAATTTGTCTTGAAAAAGAGCAATGACAGGTCCCAGAACCAAGGGGAGTCCCTGGAGGTTTTAACCCCGAAAAAAGCCCTTAAATCCGGCTTAAAATAGGGCCATGCGGGTCCCAGAACCGAGGGGATTCTGTGGAGGTTCTATCCCCGAAAAAAGCTTAGAAATCCGGACATAAATGCAGCACTGGAAAGCCTGAGACCCAGGGGGGTCCTCGGAGGTTTTAACCCCGAAAAAAGCCCTTAAATCCGGCTTAAAATAGGGCCATGCGGGTCCCAGAACCGAGGGGATTCTGTGGAGGTTCTATCCCGAAAAATAGAATCCGGACATAAATGGCAGCACTGGAAAGCCTGAGACCCAGGGGGGTCCTCGAGGTTTTAACCCCGAAAAAAGCCCTTAAATCCGGCTTAAAATAGGGCCATGCGGGTCCCAGAACCGAGGGGATTCTGTGGAGGTTCTATCCCCGAAAAAAGCTTAGAAATCCGGACATAAATGCAGCACTGGAAAGCCTGAGACCCAGGGGGGGTCCTCGGAGGTTTTAACCCCGAAAAAAGCCCTGAAGTACGGCTTGAAATAGAGCCATCACAGGCCTGGTGCTCCAAGCAAATGTGAAAATAATTCTAAGTGCTGTGGGCAGGATTCGAACCTGCGTGGGAGGACCTCAATGACTCCCCATTCCATCGCCTTTGCCACTCGGCCACAGCGAGCCCAGTACTACAGCATAGACACTTAGGTTTTTTGGCAAAACACTTAGGCTGATTTGTAGGCTGAGGGGTGGGAAAGGCCTGGTTCTCCAGGGGGGCTATGTTCATGTGTGGGGGCTACCAGGACCTCCAGACCGGTTAGGGTTAGGTCTGGGGAGGGCCTGGGTCTCCATGGGGGTTAAGGTTAGGTGTGGGGAAGGCCTGGACCTCCAGGGGGGCTATGTGCAGGCGTGGGGGCGGCCTGGATCTCCTTGGGGGTTAGTTAGGTGTGGGGAAGGCCTGGATCTCTATGGGGGTTAAGGTTAGGTGTGGGGAAGGCCTGGACCTCCATGGGGGTTAAGGTTAGGTGTGGGGAAGGCCTGGACCTCCAGGGGGGCTATGTGCAGGCGTGGGGGCGGCCTGGTTCTCTATGGGGGTTATGGTTAGGTGTGGGGAAGGCCTGGATCCCATGGGGGTTAAGGTTAGGTGTGGGGAAGGCCTGGATCTCCATGGGGGTTAAGGTTAGGTGTGGGGAGGCCTGGATCTCCATGGGGGTTAAGGTTAGGTGTGGGGAAGGCCTGGATCTCCAGGGGGTTAAGGTTAGGTGTGGGGAAGGCCTGGATCTCCATGGGGGTTAAGGTTAGGTGTGGGGAAGGCCTGGATCTCCAGGGGGTTAAGGTTAGGTGTGGGGAGGCCTGGATCTCCATGGGGGTTAAGGTTAGGTGTGGGGAGGGCCTGGATCTCCTGGGGGTTAAGGTTAGGTGTGGGGAGGGCCTGGGTCTCCATGGGGGTTAAGGTTAGGTGTGGGGAAGGCCTGGACCTCCATGGGGGTTAAGGTTAGGTGTGGGGAAGCCTGGACCTCCAGGGGGGCTATGTGCAGGCGTGGGGGCGGCCTGGATCTCCATGGGGGTTAAGGTTAGGTGTGGGGAACGCCTGGATCCCCATGGGGGTTAAGGTTAGGTGTGGGGAAGGCCTGGATCTCCATGGGGGTTAAGGTTAGGTGTGGGGAGGGCCTGGATCTCCGTGGGGGTTAAGGTTAGGCGTGGGGAAGGCCTGGATCTCCATGGGGGTTAAGGTTAGGTGTGGGGAGGGCCTGGATCCCCATGGGGGTTAAGGTTAGGTGTGGGGAAGGCCTGGACCTCCAGGGGGGCTATGTGCAGGGTGGGGGGCGGCCTGGATCTCCATGGGGGTTAAGGTTAGGTGTGGGGAAGCCCTGGACCTCCAGGGGGGCTATGTGCAGGCGTGGGGGCGGCCTGGATCTCCATGGGGGTTAAGGTTAGGTGTGGGGAGGGCCTGGATCCCCATGGGGGTTAAGGTTAGGTGTGGGGAAGGCCTGGATCTCCATGGGGGTTAAGGTTAGGTGTGGGGAGGGCCTGGATCTCCGGGGGTTAAGGTTTAGGTGAGGGGATCCCGGGGTTAAGGGCCTGGGAGGCCTGGACTCCAGGGGGGCTATGTGCAGGCGTGGGGGCGGCCTGGATCTCCATGGGGGTTAAGGTTAGGTGTGGGGAAGCCTGGACTCCAGGGGGGCTATGTGCAGGCGTGGGGGGGGCCTGGATCTCCATGGGGGTTAAGGTTAGGTGTGGGGAGGGCCTGGATCTCCATGGGGGTTAAGGTTAGGTGTGGGGAGGGCCTGGATCTCCA